GATCGAAGCATCTACCAAGAGAGAGGGAACATTTACGTAACCGTGGACGGAGGATCGGTTTCCGAGGAACAGATTGGTAATTTCTGTTAAAAGACGTCTCTCTCGCGGTCGAGAGACAGCGATCCTCAGTTTACCGAGAGTAAACATTTTTTCCCCATTCGATACAACTCCCCTCCCCGGTATTAATTTCCAACGATTGGTTCGAGGAATAAAATTATGGAAACTCTGCAACTGGTCAGACGTGAACATTCGGTAGAAATGTGTTATAAATTATTATTATTATTTTAATTAATTGTATGTTTCGAAACAAGAATTTTCCTCATGGTCGAAGAGTCCCTGGATTTTGATAGGGGTACACGCGAGAGAATCTATAATAATCGAACCGTAAGATATTAAAAACAAACTCACGACTAGCTGTCGAAGAAACTCAAACGAAACTCTCGGTCGAGCGATGGTTACACGTCAAAACGGTGCACCAAAGTCGGACAACAAAAGCCTTTGTCACGGTGTACCAGAGATGTTGCAACGTGAAGACGCTTTGTTAAAGATACCAGGCGGGCCGATCGATCGCGAAAGACGCCGTTATATCGGATCTCGTCCCTCAACCATCGACAGATTGAACAAAGTATTATTCTTTCCGAGGGTAGAGAAACGCGTTCTCCCCAGTCTATGATTCGAGAACGTCCTTCGTTCCACGCTGGATAGGGGAATACCTCGTGCTCGGTTACTCGAAATTTATCGTTATCTCAGTTGTATTCTTTCCTGTCGACTATATTTAGCAATTTTCGCCAGCAAGATTCTCTAGAGATTAATCTAAAAAAACCTTCTAATCGATGTAACAAACTTTTCGAGAGAAACCTTAATTCGACTAATTTTCCTTAGATACAAGTATTATCGTTAACTAATGTTTCATAGATCTTCCGAATTTATTTTATTTTAATGAATTTTATAGTTTATCTTTGAATCTTACGTAAACCAGAAATAAATTCTTATTTAACGAACACACTTCCCGAGTCTCGTGAAACCTACAGAGCTGTATCAACTAACGCGATCATTGTAATTATTAAATATTAATTCGACCATCCGTGGTCCCCGTAGCTTTTCCCGCGCATGAAATTAAAAGTTGCCTCGGTCCACGGGACACTGAAACGTCCAGACCTGCTGACGGAGATTAAGAGACCGGATAGCATTAACTCGGAAGGAAGAGTATCAACTTTGCTCCCGAGCATTAAGCAAAGAGCATTAATTAACGGTAGAACATATTAAATTAAAATTTATCCAGCGAGACGCGTCCAACGACTCGAAGTCCCCACTTTTTGGATCCGTCGATCCTCTAATCTGTACCAAGATTTTGAACTAGCTGGGTCTGGTATAGTCTAGAAAGTGACAGTGTTTAGTTTTCATGAAATAAAAAAGTCGATACTTTACCTAAAGATTTGATGTTAATTTATATGGATAGGTTGGAGATTCAAGATTATTTCTATGGCGATGTAAGGTTTTTAGATTAATTTTTAGAAATATTATGACCGTGAAAATTTCCCGAGCTGGATTGTTACTTTTTGTCCCACCTTGGAATAAAATAAGGGAGATATTGAAAGTGCTCACGTTAGATGGGATTCCCTGCCCATGTATACATATATCTAGACCCCAGAGTGTATTAAGTCACACTTTTCAAACTTTCGAGAAGAGCAAATCAAAGGTGCGAAGACCATGTAACTTTCTAACCGTTCGGTAAGAATTCACCAAAAAACAATCTCTACCTTCGAACTATTGAATGGATTTAAGACAATTCTATGTATCTAGAAATGGTGAACTTTGCATTAATTCCCCTATGTGATGAACGTCACACTGTTTTAAAAATATAATATCATTTTTAGACTATTATGTACCTATATTAAAAATTGGACGATTTAAAACGAAATAATTTTTACCATCAGAAAGAGGGAAATATTTGACATAGGAAACATGTAAAATGTTATTTTTTTTTTAAAAGTGGCCTCAATGCATTCTGGCTCTGGGGTTCAGATATATGTATACACAAGTATCGTCTGTTTATCATATCGCAGTTCGAACAATCGATGGCTTTTCCTCGGCCTTCGGCGGGAACGAGGGATTAATTCAAGAATGCCACGGCAATTAATATACGTGTTATCGCTCGAGGCACATCTTTGTAGTTGGCACGGCTCTGACGTCAGCATCCGCGTTTCATTGTTCAATCCGTGGATCACAGATAGAAACGCCGACCCGAGACGTGATCTATCTCCGTGGCGACCTTCACCCGGAGGAACGAGTTTCCTGTTGATCGAGGCGCGTCGTCGTCATCGTTGCAAAATCGCGCACAGAGTGTCACGCGAATTGTGTGTTTCAAAAATTGTGAAAATTGGAATTTCGAAATTTTTTATCTCGTGTTTATACGTGGAATTGAAAAATTCAACGATCCTCGAATCGAATCAAATCCCTATCTTTTCCTGCCCGAAAACGGGTTGGTAATGGGCGATGCAGTATCGATATATCGATACTTTTGAATGCAAATATCAATATTTTGTATCGATTTTTAATATGACGTTGTATCAATACTTGACCCATGGATATTGGAATTTCGAATCAACTGCAACTTAAGCTGAAACAATTCTACATCTGGTAACGATAATGGCAAATAACAATTGACGCCACACGGAGACGATATGAAATTATAATTTTTTTCGGGAAAATTGTAGCAACGACGGAAAATCGATGCTTACCATCCCCTTCCACACGATTTCTTTTTTCAAATCATAATTTCTGTTCGGCCCTCCCGCGAGAAAATAGTAATTGCACCGTTAAATTACAATGCATCTCATGATTGTTCACACGTCAGAGTAAAATGATTACGAAGGACGAGCATCGTTACAGAATGGCATCGACCCAGACCTAGTTTCCATTCTTCGCGGTAACATATTTTTTTTCGTTCACAACAGGAAAAGTAAGTTACCACTCGATTCTTGTTTTTACAAGCCTGTGATCGCGAAGAAGCGAATTTCCATAAACATAACACGCTACTACTATTCATCGACTCAATCTCGACGGACTGCGAACAAAGTATGCGAGTGTTCTCCAGACAAATGAGATTCCCCCGTTATCCCTCCAGTGCACAATGGTCTAGGAACCCGCTTTTCGCGGCCAAAATTATTTTAGCGTTATTTCAAGACTTAAGGTCATACTATATTAGATCATTCAATTCGTCCTGACGTCAGGTATGACATTACAGAGTCAAAACTATGTAATGACATGTAAAAATCGAGGTGGCATTGAATTTTGTATATTAAAACTTGTAGAAGGCTGAATGCTGATGAACTTTTATCCGAAAGGTTTTTTTGTCAGACCGTCAGAAATATTTGAAAATCGTGATGACAGACAAACAAATTTCTGCAAACTACTAAACATGAAAAATTGACTTTTGGTCACGAAAAGAGGGCCATATCAACTACGTCTTGTTTCACGCGAGTCACCCTGTATAAATCAAATTTTCCCAAGGTTTCTTGCTCCATAACATCTTCTCGTGTTTTCTGACCAGCTTCAAATGGTACATCGAATTCCCGCGACTTTTCGGATACTCCGAACCGCAACGCTACCACAAAGAGACCTTTCTTTTTTCCTTTCGCTTTCTCGACTATGCTCCCCGAGGCCGGCGAGCAAAAATCGCAACCTCGTCCCGGTATATACGATAACTGTCCTGATAATGGAAGCCTCGTTGGCCGACGACGCGTTTAAAGAACGTCCGAGTCTCGAGTTCCCCCGCGATTTATCCGTGCCAAGGATACCGCGAGACGCTCGAGCGGTTCCTCCGTGAACAGAAAGTGGATAACAGGTTGTCTCCGTACAACTTCGAACACAGTTCTATTGGGTGACAGACATCCCGACGATTACTCGTCCATGGGTTACGTTCGTCCGATTCGGTAAAGCTGCTTCAAAGATATAGCTTTAGCCATAAACCTGACCGACCCTAAAGTTTATGTGTTTCCGTAGCCTAATCCTGTCATTCGATACTCTTGAGTTGTAAAAACTGTGCTTGACCATCGTTCAGAGGTGTACGACGTCAGTTTCAGATCGGTTTTTCCGTTTTAATTTAATTGAACAAGTTCTTATAGTCGTTTTATTCTTGATGGATGCTTACTAAAACGTGAATTTAACGGGTATAATATTTTACGTTCCGGTGAAAGTCCCTGCCTTCAATACTAAATGCACAGTTCTTATCGCGATAACAGATGCATTTTCCTAACACAAGAACTCCCCTGAGTCTTGATACAGATATGTACTATTCTTTAATGGGAGCTAGAAGAGATCCCTGTTCTGTTATGTCTTCTCTTGTTGTATAAATTCTACTGACAAGGGAAGGCACGGAAGTGCCCCCCTCCGATTTTGTTTAAACTTCGTATGTCTGTTAAGCGGTCAAAAATAAAGGATACGTATTTTTTTGTATCGGCTGAGACGCGATTTTAAGGGGTGAAACCAACCCTCGAAGTTTCGATCCGAAATTTTTTTGTTATAAACAAATTATATTTTGGACAATTTGTTAGCACCATATTATTCTACATAAAAAAAAACCGCAAACCTCGTCCATTAGAAGTTTTCATGTATCTTCTCTGGTTTTCGAGATAGTACATTCGGGTCGAAACTTCGAGGGTTGGTTTCACCCCTTAAAATCGCGTCTCAGCCGATACAAAAAAAATACGTATCCCTTATTTTTGACCGCTTAACAGACATACGACGTTTCATAAAAATCGAAGGGGAACACTTCCGTGTCTTCCCTTGTCAGTTTTCGTCGAAATTTAGGTACAAAAAAATTTGTTAATTCGCGGGAACCTCCGCTGTCTAACTGACTGTGACTTTGTTCGTTACGATAGCCATAGTAGGGTTAACCGTACCCGATTATAAGGAAGAATAACGGAATCAGCCTCGCGGCCAGAGGAAAAACGGTAGGTTTTTACACGTATTCACCCAGGTAATTTTTCCGTTCTTACCTGTGAACGACATTGGCCAGCAGATCATTGTGCCGTAATCTGTAATCGACGTCCACCTTCTGGTAGTTCACCGTTAGCGTGCCAGCTCGGATGCATCGTTCGTACACTTCCGCCGGATGCGCCCGGAACTCCCTCGCGAACACCTCGAGGATCTTCTCGCCGACCCATCTGCCTTTCGTGAAGGTGGTGAAGGTGAAGTAATACGGGTAGACTTTCCGAAGTCCTGGAAAAAACGAAACGAACCAACGATCAGTCGAGAGCTACTGGTGTCTTTGAGTAAAAGAGGTTGCAGTTCGTTGAATCGGGCCAACGAGAAATGCATCTTGAAAATGGAATAATTATTTAGGCGCTCGAAACGAAAAGGTTAAAGTAGAACGTGTTCCTGGAAGTCAGACCAACCGAGGATATATTTTTAATTGGAACGACTTCGTAGGTAAACTGTGAATATTATATTAAATATGTGAATATTATATGCATATACAAAGTTATTCGACAAAATATAAAAATGTTACGGAGTAGAATTTGGCTGGATATTCATCTATTGTTTACTCAACAAAGCAAACGTTTGTAATTGTATTTATTACAAAAACTGAAAGCAAACTTCATACGTGACGCGGGGAGTTGAAAACATTTAAAGTGGAATTCAACGCTCGGGCGACGGATATTTACAGGGAACCTTTAATATGAAAAATTCGATTACAATCTACCGTGATTCGCGCTCATTAACTCTCCCCTTGACAGAATTAATTCCAGTTTCAATAACCCGAAGCAAAAACAGGAACCCATGGCTCGTGTTTCATTATAACGATATTTCATCAAAAGCTTGTCAACGATTTTCCTCGTCGAATATTTCCCCTTGATTCTCCTCGGCGCGCGCAGTCGAATAAATAATTTGATAAATATAGGCGACCGTAGATACCCGTGCAAATAAAGAACTACGCCGGCAGAATTAACCGAAAAATTTATTTTCCATTTATCGATCATGGTACACAACTTCTGCCGACAGTATCGGATCCACCCTCCCATCCCCCATCCCCCAAAATGTAGTACACGCGCGCCTGAACTGATCCGACCTATTAGTTTTCACGTAAAGGAATACGTATATCGGTTTTGCACATATTTTCAGTACGCGCCTGGGGTTTTAAAACACGAAATTTTCCAATTACCCCTTTCGGCAGACTGCCGCATTTAATTTCACGATTCAGTGCTGGCCGAGAGCTACCACACGACTAGCACGATCATCCCTTCCAAACGTTCCAGAGTACACAAGTTTCGGGAAAAGGTACAGTACAGGACGTGTTCGATGATTCTGTTACAAATACTTAGGGATGTTGGCTGGAGGCCTTAGTTTGTACAGACTCCTCTTGATTGTTTCGAGCAATATATCTATTTAAAGGGATACTATTTTTAATATTTCACGATGAACAGGAGCATCAACAAACGTCGAAAAATATTAATGTACATTCACGTGAATCGAGTCAAGATTTTCTGTTCCGTTTTCTCGGTTACACCGCGCCCAAAAAAAACGAGACTCACGAACTGAAGCTCATCGTTGTGTGAAAAGGAGGAAAAAAAAATGATTCGCGATTCCCGCTCACCTAAACAAAACGGGACAGACCGTCGATCGTTTTAACGCTCCAGTTGGTCTCGCGCGGGAAAACGGGACCACGACGGTCGCGGCAAAAGGCCTAGAGAAACGGCCGCGCGCGAAACGACTTCACGCGTCGACAAGCACGGGGGATGGATCGTTTGCAGTTTCAAACGAAGAAAGAAGAAGAAGCTCCTACTGGTCTTCTCTCCCCGTCCGATAAACCGTCGACCAACACGTTCCTCCGGTTTCGTTAACGATTCGCGCACCACTGCCCGTTTTAGGGGATGGATCCTCTTTCGTTTCCGTTTGCCCTGGTGGCTATAGTCGCGTGGAAATTAATCCTGACTTTTTGGAAGATCGTCCATTCCACCCCCGTGTACCCCACCCTCATACTTCACTCTCCCTTTTTTCGTCACGCTCCGACTACCTTCCCGGTCGGTTCCCGCCGAAAGGATCTTTCACGGCTGTGGTCAAATTTATGAAGTCGATCTCGCGATTTTTTCCCAGCCCTTCCTTCGAAAACTTTCCTCTCAAGGAAAAAATTGCCGAGGGGATTGAAAGCTCGAGGTGGAACTTTGTAGAAAATAGGGTCGATTCGAGGAAAAGAAACACGCGGAACGAACGAAAATGATCGTTCGGATGAAGGACGTCGGGTAATTTAGTAGATCGTATACAGTCTTTTGCACACCAAATTCAACTTTTTGCAAGTTCGATTCACCCTTTGCAAATTAAATTCAACTTTTATTCAAATTCAAGCTTTTGCAATTTCCACCTACTCGAATTATCACAAAGACAACTAGATCGTGGATAGTGCACTGTTAATTTTGATAAACTGGTTCGAGATTTTTCGTGTTTTTATTATTTGTTATTTCGGAAATTGCAAAAGGCGGAATTTGATTTGCAAAAGGGTGAATCTCATTTGCAAAACGATGAATTTCACTTGCAGAACAGTGAGTTTGATTTGCAAAAATTCCGATTTCCGCATCGATCGTTTAGGAAACGAATGATGAAATCTTGTAACGTGACTCAGCGTCATAGTTGGGACGCACGGTCTTGGAAATCGAACGTTTTCCAGCCGGTCGAAGATTCGGTTACAAAGGGTGCATCCAGCTGGTGTGGGAACAGCGTAGTTCGACACTCCATTTTACATAATTAAAATCACTTTTAATTAAACACCCGGACTCTCACCGGTTCGATCGACTCGAAAGGGTCGGGGAAAGAACACGCGGCGGATAAAGGTAGAAGAGGGGAGAGCGAAGCTCTTCTCCTTTTCACCGAAGAAAAAGATTACCCTGCAATTTATGGAGCTCCGTTCGAGAGGATGTGTCGTTGAAACGAGAGCGTCCGTGTGCTCTTTAAAGCGTGAAAAAAAAGAATCAGGGGTGGGGTAGGACGACGCAGATATTCCTTCGATAGAACGAGCACGAGCTTGTTCGACGCTTTAATTAATTGAAACGCGATGACGTATTCTCTGATCTTTTGCGGCTCTTCTTGCGAAAAGGATCTCTTCTTTTTCTTTCTGTTCTTCGCTGGACGCTCCGATAAACTGAGAATTGCGTATACGTGATCGAGGACAGTTTCTCTACGGAATTCATCGAACGTTCGTATAAATGGAAAGGTATACCTTTTGGTTGAGAAGTTTTGAAGATTAATACCTTGACTGGCGGACCAACAAGTCCATAAAAGTTCGAACAACGTCGAAGTAATATTTCTTTTTAATAAAATTCCAATACACCAACTTTTGTCATCACCCGCACCACTACGTGGTATAACTATAAAACCAGTTGAAATTTTTCAATTTTTATATATAGTAATGGTTAACATAAAGACGAATTACTTTTTTCTCCAGGGAATATATCATTTATCCTTTTCCCAAAAAATATCACTTCTAAACACCGATTTCAAGCACGGCATCCTTGGTTCATTTTTATTTTAACTACAGTACATAAGAATTGAGTATTTCAGGGTGGTTTTATATTTATGCCCACGCAGTGTATAAGTCCACGTGGTTCTTGTGTCCTTCATTTTGCACCGTTTCTTCGGTTTACATTCAATTTTGTCAAATTACAATTAATCCACGTCAATTATAAGAATCTACTTTACTGCAAGGGGGAGAAAATTTCTCCGTGGATCGAACGATCTAATTTGTCGAGTTTCGATCGATACACCGGATAGGATACGATATAAGACGAATTGGGAGAAAAGGGAGAATAGAGAAAATTGAAGAGGGATGGGGGGATGATCGAGACACGAGGGTCGAGAAAAATCGAAGATGGAAAGAAATCCAGAGAGATTCCTTCGAGTTTCAGGGCAATCGTCCATGGAATTGCAGCGATCTGTGCAACCAGGAATTACTCGTGGGAACCAAACCGGGTGGGGTGTCCCTTTACTCGGCCGGTTCTCCATCGGCTAGGCCGAGGATTCGAGACGAATTAAGGTGAGTATCCCACCTTTATATCCACCGCCGTGGAATATAAAGAAATACGGAATGTGAAAAACTGGCGATATGGAGAACGGAAACAAGACCTGCGATAATAACGTCCTGTTGTGTAGTCGCGTGCACGTAATTCTCAGAAGTATCATTTGTCGTCCGGAAAAGTAGCACGTTTTCGAACGTGAAATTGCTATCTATAGTTAGAATAATTGGTTTCTTTAACACGTTCGCTACCAGCGACATATACATTAATATGGATGTGTAACGCTGCGATTTCCACGTCGAGCATACTTTTTTTAGGTAAACGTTCTATTAATATTCGGACACTTTGGAAAACTGATAATTCTTTATCAAATTTTCACAAGCAATAGATTGATTTAATATATTGTAAGATCTTCCTGCCGAATGAGCTCTTTCTTCAATCAATAGAAACTGATTCGCTTGTCCCAAATGTTACATCCCCATACTTCATTTTTCTTTCGCCACATTCCTAGCTCATCGGACCCAAAGATGATAAATTTACTTTCATCGCTAAAGCTAACGCCAACACTACACCTTTATAAATAAATTTCATACTATTGTTAATTGAACACACTGTCGCAATATTATATACAAGTAAATACGTCTTCCCTTTTTTATAAATAAAATTACAGTCCGACTACATAAAGATTGTATAGTGTCCGAATATTAAAGTTACTCACTGCATCTATCTCTTCACCACGGTCGACCAGCGTATAACAATAACGACGACGGTAACTGTCGCCTACGACGTGTCTCGAGCTCACTGTTCCAAGCACCGAAAAATCTCGGCCGAGGGTACAGAGAATCGAGAACACGTCGAGCAAATAGCCACCCCCGTCACCGCGAACGAGGAACAATAGGCCAGAGAAGACGAACACAGCCGCGAAAGAATGGTTTCTAATAGCGGGGAAGGATCGAAGAAATCGTCGAGCGGCCGATTCCAGTCAAGAGTACCATTCCTCTGAGGCGACGGTGGGGGTGGTGGATATGTCTCTCTTTCTTTCACTGGGAAACAAAGAGGTTGCACAGGGCGTTGGTAGGTTTGGGGGTGGCGCGAACACGAGAAGAAAAGGGAGATTTTAGAGGGTGGGTGTAGGCACAACCACCCAGAAAATACTCGAGGAGGCCGTGGATCTGGATTACGCGGCGAGTGTGAAACGTGCCAAGAGGCGCGAAA